TTGGATCCCAGCTCTGGCTCCAGGGATTTTCCCTGAGCTTCACGCTACACAATCATTACCTATAAACTTCCAGGTCAAATCCTAAGTCAGAAAGTTTTCTCCAGGTGGATTTTGAGCGCAACTGATTAGACAACACACAGTTTAAAGGGGTAAAGTTTTGTCCATAGGCAGAATGGAGGTTGATTGTATCTTTTTGTCGAGTCTCCCTTAGTCTCTAAGCATCAGTTTGCCTATCCATCAAACATAAATCATTACTCTTCGTTTGTATCAAGTACTATGGTGACAGTATCTCTTCTATGAGTAAATTGTTAAATGCATAGGTGAAACCCAAGATGCCTAAATTCTTTATCTGACATATAAAATAGACCAAGAAAGGATGGTGGAAGTATCAAAATAGCTGCTCAGCAGAGCCACACCTGGAAAAAAAAAGGATTTTTATTAATTCCCTATTTGCCTTGCAACTCCCCCCCGCCCCAAGGGAGAAAACACTGGTATAGGGGTGGATCTGCTGTTCCGCGCGGCTCAGGGAGTTTAAAGCATTTCGCTGTGCCGTTCTCGGCGCTCCAGCACCCCCAGCTGGGCTTCGGCAGGGCAAGCGCCGCCCTGACTGTTCTGTCTCTCACAACAGGCTCAATTAGTCGGTGTCAGGGCACCAAAGAAAATGAAACGTTTCTTTGCTCCTATTGAAGCCTTAGAGAATCTGGTTTTGGCGGAAATTCCGAGGGACCTCCCCCCAGAATTATGTCTTCTGCATAACATAATTCTTTTGAGTTCTGGCTAAGCAGTTGGATTTGTTTTGAAGCCCATTGTCACTGAGCTGCTCATTATTTCCAATGTCAGGTCGTTAATCTTGAGCCTGGGCAGGACACGGTGTGTTAAAACAATTTTCCTTTGATGACTCTTTTACCAGGATGGCTATTGCTCAGCTCACTGGATGGTGTGTTCCTGTACAGGACTTGATCCCATATCATAGCTTGATTCCAAGTTAATGAAAGGCTGGACAGTAACTGGAAAGCAATCACCAAGTTACTGTCATGAGTACGTCCCATAACAAACTGCCGGGATGAGGTCATTGCACACTGAGAAAGTGAGTGCTCCCTCTTCATTTCCCTGGCTTTTCTCCCCACAGAGTTTGCAGGTACACAGAGAGACCTGTCAGCAGATGTTTCAGACTGGTACTCTGGCATGTAAGAGGAATCTGTAAAAATTCCTTTGGAAAGAATATCTAAAATTAATTGCTTCTAAAATTAGTTGCTTTAGATATGTCTGCATATCACTGGACTCACCAGAGGCTGTACATTAGGTATGTTCTGCTGCCTCTCTATGGTTGATCAGCTGTATAGAATTGTTATCCCCCACCACAACAGATATCAGCCAGCAGCTGGTCTCCTTTCCAGCATCATTTTTCAAAAGTAAAGAAGCATCAGCTTGGATAGCAAAACAGAATGCCAACGTGATATATGCTCTTTTCTCCATAATAGAATGCAAAATGCAAATCTTACAATAAGTATAGAAAGCAATTTTGATGTGCAATGACTATTGAAACAGGTCTCCCAAGTTCTTGTTTCATCTAAGGGAAGAATTATTTGCACAGAAAATCTACTTGGTCCTTTCTTAACCTCTCTCCTGAAAAAGCCCACAATCTTTAAGACTGTATTTCTATCTTATGTTCCAAGTCAGATAGGTGGAGCTGCAGAATATCATCAGATTTTAAAATACCTTCTCAGAAAATTATGCTCAGATGTATTCAATTTTTTTAATATCATAGCTAATGCATTGTCATTCTCAGTTCAAATACTCTATAAAGTACCGTGCCCTGAAATTAAATTGCTTATGTATTGCCTCTTTAAGTACCAGTTAATATTAATTTCACTCTATATTTAAATTAAATATCCCACAAGTAGTTGAGGGAGAGTGAAGACACTTCCTGTTGCCTTTTGCTATCACAAATGGGGCAAAGAAAGACAGTCACATTTAGCAAAGATTCTCATTATTCAGATGCAAAGACAAATCCTAGAAACACTGTGCTTTACAGATAAACACTGAATTCATAGTCAGATTCGAAACTTCAGCCTCTCTTCAAAAGAGCACCTCAGGCCAGACTCCTCAGTCAAAAATTACAGAAGGGATTAAAAATCTGAAAGTAACAAATTTGTATTTGACTGAACTAGTCCTCTTATACCCTGGCAAAAATCTGCTAGCAGAAGCTGCAATTCAGTTTCAAACAGATAAAAGCCTTAGATATATATTTCATTTATATACTTTCCCAATGTTAAATATTTAACATCACAAAGTTTAAAAATAAGCTAAACAGCTGATAAGAGATGTTTTCCGGGACACTATCCCTGTTTCTGTTTGCTTTTGATTTAGAGACTGTATTACAGACTTGTTAACCTCAGAGGTTACCATTTTCAATTTCTGTTACTCATTACCCGTACAGAGAGGCTGAGAAGAAAACAGGTCACAGTGAGAGGCTGTTAGTCACACAGTCCTCCTGCTTCCTTCCTTCCTTCCTGTTGCACAAGCCCGTCAACTTTTCTGCTCTAAGGAGAAAGATCAATACAAGAGTGACTGCCATCTTTATTCCATGACAAAACAAGCCTAGGAATAGCTATGGTGTTATTGTGACGCATATGAGGGTAAAGAACTATTTTCTGTTGGATATTATTTCTCACTTTCTCCTTTTTGCTTCTTTTTCAGTGCAGAATCACTCACTCAGTAACTTACTGCTTAGAACTGTTCCTCCATTGGCTGTGTTCGCTGCGAAAGTCACAGAAAACTAATCTTAAATAGGATTTCTCTCACACTAATGATTTGTTACCATCGTTTTTCCTTACTGTTTAGTATCGCTGGCAACAAAGGTTCTTAAAACGCTTTGTCTGGGACAGAATTTACATTAGGGATTAAATGCTCGTCGTTGGTGGAGGCCTCATTTCTGCTGTGAAGGTAAACCCTCGCACTTGGCGCTAGAGGGCACAACAAATATGCTTTAGATACACAGTATCTTAAAACCTTGATATACTACCCCAGAGCCGGAACAATGTGTACAATAAACTTAAGAAAAGGCATAAGAATAGTTAAAGTAGTTTCTGCGCGGTTAAATTTTAATATAATTCATTTATTCTAATTAATTTATTTTCTAACAGAGATGACCCTCCCTTGCACTCTAACCCACAGTATGCACTTTGTATGAAGAAAATGCACACATACAAACACAAATACGATATTAACATTTCCTCACGAATTTATACAACAGCTATTGGGCATCACAACATTGTGTGCTGTGCCATTTGATAAAGTGGGAGGGGGAAACTTTCATCTAGTTCAATTGCTGAAGAAATCAATAACCTAAGTGCTGCATGTATTTGTACTCTACAGTGGCATCTATAATGGCTTTGATTGTGTTTATGACTCAGCTCATTGCTGGCTTGAAGTGTGGTTTAGATGGAAGTGCTGAGCTCTCCTCTCCTGCATCCAACGACAGTGGGAATGGTTCAAAGCAGTGCCAGGGCAGGTTCACACTGGACGTTAGGAAGCATTTCTTTACCATTCAATGTTGTTTCCCTCTAATCCTCCCCAAGGGATTTATTAACAAGAACCTGGGTTACCCTCACCTTCTGCAGTGGGTCACTACAGCACCCAGCTGCTGTTGCGTATCAGAAGTTTCAGCAATTCTTGACATGAAGACTGGAGCTTTCCTGTTCCAAGGTCATCCCAGTGCCAAAGTAATAAAATGATGCCTGCTTTCTCTCTTTTTCTTCATCAAAACATGAAAGATTTTCCTGCAGTGAAACAGCTTCAACAAGAATTGATGTACCCACTCCAGAATAAACAACTTGCAATTTGATGCGGGGGTCATTCTTTAAGAATGAGTGTTTGGTTTCCCTCAAGATGAAGAGGGAATTAAATCCAACTCATGAACTTTCTAAATAAGTGGAAAAATAAAATAAAATAAAATATATTTCTGCATTTCTACCGTCCTCTGCTATGTGTCCAATGGCCGCCCCTCAAGAAAATCAATAGAAAATCAAGTTTCTTCAAGTTTCTTGATTAGATTTTCAGAGAATAAAAGTTATTCATCTTCTTCAGAAGGTTTGGGGCTACAAATCAAGAGTGAAAGTATTTTAGATACCAGTAGGGAAGTGTATCTATATTATATCTGAAGAACAGTATTTAAGCTACAAACCTGTGCCAAATTCCTCCAATAGGTAAGATGTTCATAGAGCAGAAGAGTTGTTTCTAACCTCTATGAGAACTGAGATCAACACAGTGTTCTGAATGGTCCTCAGGAGGTTAGATAAATGAAAGTTATTTTTAGTCTCTGTGAACCTTAAGAGATGCTTATAGGAGACGAACCAACCAGATTAGCCTCACCTTTAAAATAAAGGGCTTTGAGCTGACTAACACCACACAGGAGTAAAATCTTCTAATTATGACAGATAATTCCACACAGTCATCAACTCAACACTCCATAGCAGTCTAAAAGCATAAATTTTACATCAGGAATTATTGGAACTGCAGAACAAAAAATCATCAGACTACTGGGTATATCCAAGGCATGTCCACAGTGTGAAAACTATGTGTAGAGCCGGTTCTCTCACTTCAAGAAATGATACAGCAAAACTGGAAAGGGGCAGAGAAGAGCACTAGGGAGTAGTGAAAGTACAGAGCAATTTCTGAACACGGGCCCCTGAAGAGCAGTCCAGGAAAGAGGTGATTCAGCCGGCATACGCTGCAAGTCCACAAAATCACCAGTGGACGGGGGTGAAGAGCATGGACAGACCCGTCACTGCCACTGTTAGTACAAGAACCACAGCTGTGGGGTATCAAATGAAACCAGATGCAGAAGGAAAAAAGCCGGAGCAGTGGCTGCGGGCGGCGCCGATCCCGATCCCGCCCCGCGCTGGCGCTGCCCTGGGGCCGGCCCGGCCGGGAAAAGTTGGACTCGGTGATCCTTATGGCTCCGTTCCAGTACAGGATATTCAGTGATTTTGTGAAGGGCCGCTCCCAGTCTCGCTGCAGGTGTGCGCCGGGCCCTGAGGAGCAGGTAAGGGCAGCCGGGCTGGCGCTGGGGCCGGGGCGCCGGGGCCGTTCTGGAGCCACTTTCCAGAGGGCGACCGGACCGGGAGCGGCACCCGGACACTCTCCTCGCACCTGTCCCTGATGTTTCTCACCAGCTAATCTCTCCCTTGAGTTCTCAGGCAGTACCAGATTATCAAGAGAGAAGCTCCCCAGCGCTCTCCAGCAATGGCAGGTAAGAGCAAATGCGGTGAAAATGCTGCTCGCTCCAGACCTGGGCGCTGGGCACCTCAGGAATGGGGCCTCTGCTGTGTTTAGTTGGGACACTGAGATCTTACTTTTCCAAACGACTGAATTTACTTCAGCAAGTGATGCCTTGGAAAACTCCAGTCTCTTTAAACATTCTGTCCAAGTGCCCTCAGCTCCACTGAAATGGAAACAAATCAGCATTTTTGCAGAATCAAATTGAACACCACGGGGAGCTTGTCCATCTCCAGGCATTTCCTAGAGATCCCTGTTTGCTGGGAGCTGGCAGAAAAGAGGCTACTGCTCTTTATATTGCAAAGTAAGATATATATACAGGGGTTTTAAAAGTTTGTAGGCATGTTTAATTTATGATAGCATTTGACCCGCAAATTTTAGTAGTCTTTTTAATAGTCTTTTTTGCATAGCTCTTGTTTCATGGACACTGTGCACCCTGGTGAAATTATTTGCCCTTATCATTTAGGTTAAAAATGAGTTGTTGTTTCATCAGATACTCAGCTTGGCTTCTACTCGTTATCCCTGACACCATAAACTTGCCTGTCACTCGGCAGGTGTTGCTCTGGGATTAAGCTGTGCCCCAGAGCAACTGACCTCAGGTGATGCCTGAATTTTTGTCTCGGCAGTCAGGAACCAGGAGCTGCATGTTTTGCAGACCCTGCCATTTTCAATCATCCTTATAAGTTTTGCTCTCTGGTTATCTATAAACAACTACTATCTCATACAAAATATTTCCTATTTCCTTGTTGACTCAATAGGAGGGGCAGTGTTTAGCTGATGTAGAGCAGTGTGACTTGCTATGTAACACCTCCTCTGTCCAGTACCAAGTAGTAAAGAAAGCCTAAAAGAAGGAGGAGCAGAGAATTGCTGGGCAGGGCACAGGCAGCAATCAGGGCCTCAGGAGTCACTCACTGCTGCTGAGCAGGAGTCAAATGCTGCCACTGTCACTCTGCTTCCACTGCTTTTGTGCCCTTGGGAAAAGACACTACAGAAAGAGCAAGGAACAAGCGCCAAGTGTACAAACTGTTCTGCATCTGCCTCCTAGATTCCAAATGGTCTCCTGGTTTTCTTTCTGCCTCCAGGGAAAAAAGTTCTGATAGTGTATGCACATCAAGAGCCCAAGTCCTTCAATGGATCTTTGTTGAAGATTGCTGTGGAAGAACTGACCAAGCAGGGCTGCAGTGTCACCGTGTCGGATTTATACGCCATGCAGTTTGAGCCCAGAGCAACAAGAAATGACATTGTTGGTGAGAGCAGACAAAATACACCTTTTTCAAAAACTAGTGACTTGTAATCCCCCCCTGTCAGGTATCAAAAGATTGGAAAAAGTCTCCCTGAAAACTTCCCCATTCTGACCATGCAGAATTCTCTGTCTTGATGGGAGAGGAGCTCCAGCCCTCAGATCATCCAGAGATTAATAGGAAACTGATTTCATTAATAAGAAACTTATTAATGACAGACATCTGCATTTCTAAAAGTCCACTCCTGAACATGAACTTTGTATCACAGTGAGATTACTGGCAGTAAAAAAACCATTAGCACGTGTCCATAATCAATCTCTAAAGTCCCTTTCTCATGGGGAGGAAAATGCCTTCAGATGCCATTCTGGGACTTACTTAGTGAACTAGTTTAGTTCACAAGGCTACAGCTGCCCCTGTCTTCTGCTAGACACTGATGATCTACTAGTGGAATCAGAAGAGCTGGCCAATACAGGTTCCCCATCCCTTGGTGAATTTCCCAGTTACAGAGGCTGGAAAGCAGCTCCATAGTGCTCACAAGTGCATGATGGCCTCAGTAAAGCCTAAGGCAGAGGCAGAACAATTAACAACATTCTCTTAAATCTTCCACATGTATCCCCAGAGTTCTGAGGCAAGCTTAGGTCCTCATATTGCACTTCCCATGTTGCTACAGGAAAGTGAAGCTTTAGAGCTCTGAGATCCTACATTCCTCTCCATTTCAAAATGAAGTCGCTATCAGCTGTGATGATGCTGAATATCCAATAAAGACAAGAACATAGGGAAAATGGAAAGCAGTAACTCACTTTAGAACTGTGAATGGCAACCTGCATTCAACTCTTCTCTGGTGCTGATACTGGGCAGGGGGCAAGGAATCACTGTTCACTTCTACCCACAGGTCCCCTGCACAACTCAGAAGCGTTCAATTATGGTGTGGAAACCTGGGAAGCTTACAAGAGAGGAGGTTTGTCCAAAGATGTGGTTGAAGAGCAGAAGAAAGTGCAGGAAGCAGACCTGCTGATTTTTCAGGTCATTATTTTAAATACAATTCAGTTATGATGTTCACTTTGTCTCTAAGGAATGGTACAGTAAGAACTACAGAGCAGTAGTACAATTACCTGGGTCATTATTACAGCAAATCCAGTAACTGAGTAGCACAATGATGCAGGTTGAAACAACAGCAACCCCAGGAACTCCTCAGCACTGGGCCAAACTTCCTCTCTGGATGCACGAAGAATGATGTGACCATGGATGTCAGGCAGGCTAGCAGAAAGCAGAGTAAGGATTCTTTTCTGGGCAAGGAGCCAGCGAGGTCAGGGAATTGGGCTTTCCCAAGTAGACTGTTCTCATTTGTTGCTGAGTAGCACAAGCACTACTGGGAATTGCTAATGGATTTTTACAGCCCATCTCTATTCTCCACTATGCCAGTTCTGTCCACAGTGTCGACAAATCCCAAAGTACTGTGAAGGCAAGTAGTAGACTTACATTTCTTTGTGACCCTGTTGGCCTTAGACATCTCTATATGTATTCCACTGTCCAAAGTTAGATTAAATTTAGGATGGGGCCATATCTCAATTAAGCATTTCACTGTAAGTCATTGTCATTTTCACACTATTGCTTCCCAGATAAGAACAGTAAGGCAGCCCTGAAGGAAGTGGTTTCCTACTACTTTCCATCTGTAGATTGCTATGAAGAGTTGAGTGTGTTCTGGTGCAGAAAAAAATAATTAAAAAGCCTCTAAAGGGCATCATAAAGGAATTCAAAATTTGCTATAGACTAAACTCACCACTTGTAGTGGCTGTGGTGGTTGCCCAGTTTCCACTTTGTTTTTACCTTGTATGAAGCCACATATGGTTACATGTTTACAGAATTTCTTCCTCTATGTGCAGTGTGTACAAAGGTTATGGGGTAGTGATGCAGCCTAGCACAGGAGCCCATAAAGCACTCAAGAGAATGCTGTGAAGACATGATAGCTTTGGGATGCAGTCCCATGGGCTAACTGGAAGATCTAGAAACCAAGGGTCCACGTGTTAAAGAAGTCTTTTTCTTCTCAGTAGAGAGATTTGGGGTCAGGATGTCAGCAGGATTTCCAAAGAAGTCTTTCCTATGATTCCCTGGCATTTGTCAGCAGACTGTCAGATCAGAACTGATCACCAGATGTCAATCCTGCTAATAAGATATTAGATTCTTTTGCGTTTCAGCCACAGGAGATGTGAGTCTGTAAAGTCTTAAATCTGAATTAAATGGCACCCTCCTACTTCATCCTATTCCACCTTTAATCAGGACGGAGACCCTGACATGCACCATGGTGTTGGTGTGCTGTAGATGCTCAGGTCTGGCCCTGAGGTAACCACAAACAGGAAGCACTTCAGTTCCTTTTGCCAGGCCCAGTTACTGCCTGTCCTGACAGAGAGCTGGAAGAAGGCACATACAGGATCTGAGCAGCTTCAGAGGAGAGGATTGTCCCATAGACTAGGCCTAAGGGTGGCCCAGATTCTCTGTGCTAACCAGGTAATTTTCTCTTTGCCTAGTTTCCCTTGTTTTGGTTCAATATGCCTGCAATCCTGAAGGGCTGGATGGACAGAGTCTTGGTCCAAGGCTTTGCTTATGATATGTCAAAGATTTATGATGGTGGTTTGCTCCAGGTATGTTTTTGGACTTGTTTTATTGAAGTCAAGGTTTGCACCATGTTCTGTGGGGCCTTGGTCCTTCTTTTCCACGGTAGTTGTTTAAAGCTCTCATTTTACATTGTCCTGAAATAATGCCTTGGTAACATGCTGAGTGATTTTCTATGCTGTTCACATTGTCTGGAGGCAAGAATATAAGGAGACTGCAGTATTTCCTAAAGATTTAAGCGATCTCCTAGAAATCTTTTTTGGCCTACTCTGTGAGCTTTATCATTTATTAGGAGTATCAGAGTGCACTATGGTAGCATGCAGCTTGCAAACAGTTTAATTTAATCCGTTTCCTATAACTACAGTCTTCCTACCACTATAGTACTGCTCTTATCTGTAATGACTGGCTCACTAGGTGTCAAAGTCCTATTCTGAGATTATATGTCAAAGTTTGCCATTAAACTCTAAAACTTAACCAGAAATCTAAAATAGTCAGAGTATGAGCCTCTGTCACAACTATTTACTTTGAACCTTTTCTTTTTGTTGTTTTTAATTTGGCAAGAGCGGTATCTCTCTATGTCTAATCACACATTTTTAATTCCCCACAGCACTGAGAATATGTCTCAAAAATTCTGGCCCACTATCTCTGATAGATCTTATTTGGTAACAGGATCAAAAAACAATCAATATTAGTTTCAGATTTCTTTCACTGCATGTTAATCTCTATTAGTTCTGATGTTCTTAAAAATTTCAAACATTTCAGTTTCTTTAAATATAAGAAATTACTACCTTGCTGACATAAATAGGCATGATCACCAATGATCACAGCTGCATATGGACAGGCTCAAGACTTCTGGGATACTGCACTGGAAAAATATTAGTTTGATTACAGAAGCTAAAACTGAGATAAGAGAAGCTGAGCACATGGCTAATACCATAGTCCCAGGGGCAGAAGAAACATGGTGGTTAAGCAATCCCAGGTTTGAAGGGGGACTTAAGGAAAAATTTCTGCAGTCAGAGAGGATAGGAATAAATATTTTCACAGTAACAGAGGGCTTTCCAGCCACAGTTTTCCAACTGTTGCATAAGGAAGAATAGGGATCAGCCCTCCTTCACAAAAGGGTGTCAGACACATAATTTGTTTTCTTTTTAACCCATCTCTGTCCAAAGCCCAGACATTGTAATTGTATGACATCAATCTTTGCCTCAGAACTGCCAATCCTTGGAACATGCGAGAAGGAAGAGGACACCTCCTCCTCTAGAAATTCGTGCCATCCATGTTCCCCCAAATATCTTTTGAACTATTCAGCCACTCTTCTTTAAACATGTCTAACTCAAGCACCATTTTCCTAATTCTAGGGCAAATTATCCTTGTTTTCTTTCACCACGGGAGGAAGCAAAGAGAAATATGCAACCAGAGGTGATATTCGCTATCTCCTATGGCCCATGCAGGTAAAATATAGGAATGTTTGATTACTGATTGCTTTAATTTTTACTATTTCAGCTATTTATAAGTAATTGTTTTATTGATTATTTTATACAAAACATAATAAGAAATAATTAAGTTGCCTGCTCCAAGCATCCTCAAATTATAAACTAGGCTCTAAAATCCTGTGATTACTTTAAAAGTCCATAGAGTCTTAAAGTTATTTTGTCCCCTTTCTTCTAGCTTGCAATCTGGGGAAAGTTTCTGCTGTCAGCTTTTCCAGTGTCTCTGGTGTTACAGAACTTCCTTTAGCTCTAGCATGCAGGATTTCTGTTCCCCGTGGTTACCCAATTTGTGTAGGATGCATGGTCTCCTCCCCGCTGCAGTTACCAGCTCCTTACCCCTGAGGAGCTGTCCAGCTGCACAGCTCACAAGTAAACGTGACAAAAACATGAAACACAAATCTAAATTCAGAAACACACAGAGAGAAAATGGCAAGCTGAACTTCCACACACACTAGCCTTCATGCAGGATCATATGGCTAAAGCCAGAGGCAAAAGCTTAAAAACCAAACAAAAAAAAAAAGAAAAATCCAAGAAACCAACATGAAGTATATGTGAAACACACTGCAGTTCAGGAACAATCTGAGAAGGTTCGAACCACAAAATGAACTTTAGACTGCCACATATCCTTGCAAACTGAGCGACATACAGCAGGCAAACAGCACAGTTCTGTGTGTTTAACAGCAATTTTCTTCCCTTCTCTTGATAAATGCACAGATTTAGAAAACATGACTGGTATTGGGTGAAAGAAACAGATTTGAATCTTCCATGTTCTTCAAATGAAAGTAAAAGAGTAAATATTTCCTGAGGCACTTCTTCCTTTCTTTTGCATCCAGCATGGAATCATGCACTTCTGTGGCGTCAAAGTCCTTGAACCTCACATCTGTTATGCTCCAGCAAGTGTCTCTGAGGAGAAGAGGAAGGAGATGCTGACTGCCTGGACCCAGCGTCTGAAGACTCTTTTGAAGGAAGAACCCATAGACTGCTCTCCTGAGTGGTATTTCAAGTAGTGTTCAGGTGCAAGACTACAGAGAGAAGATTGGTTTTTTTTCTCCATTCTTTTTGATGCTCTATCTAAATACTTGAACACTAATCTCCTAATACAAATGCATTTTAAGAATCTTGAATACTACATCTAGCAGTTTAACTGACAACATAACATATATCTTCATTGATTCCCAAGGGATTCCCTTCAAGGATGGGTGCAAAACCCTTTGTGAAGTTCTCCTTGCTCACATAAACCGTGTCATCCTGCCCCCTTGTGGTTGGTAACACATGGTAATTCATGGCAGATTATACCATTACTGCTTGTCAAACAGTACATGGCCGAGTTTATTTTAACACTTTTTGTACCAGTTGGCACTTTTTTCCCTTTACCAGAGAATATGGTGCCCATACTCAACCTTTAAAAGCCCAAGATTGATTGTGAGAGTCACAATTGACTTGTGCCTTGGAGCTATGAAACCAGATAAGTAGTGTTGTAAAAGGATGTACCATTGCAAAGTGTCTTAAGCAGCTGGAAAGCGCTGTGGGCATCCCTAGACTTCTTCAGATATTTATAAAGTAATATTAAAGCTATGACAGATACCAGAAAAGGCAAAAAATACATACGATTGTAGTGGTATATGTATGAATTGCCTCCCTTTATAGACTACAGCTCCCGTTTGTAAAGTATGCATCTTCCCATAGTCATAGTAGAGAGAAAAAGGAATCCTATCTGTTGCTTGGCCCCTCATACCAGTCAGTATAGGTGTTTGGGTCTGGAGGGTGTTTGCTTCCTCTCCAGCATCAGCATCGATGGACTTCCTTGGAGATCTACAGCACCAGCAGTTGTTGAGGCAGAGCACTAACCTAAAAACCTTCAGGTGCACTGTCTGTCTATGGGTCCGGATTTATGGGACAAATGAATTGTCTGGCTCTTAATAGCCAGGATTTTTACCTGAAACTGTAGGAGGATTATTTTTGTGCTTTAGAGTTGTTAAGCCTGTTTGTGCATACGGCAAGGAGTGGGTTTCTTGCTTAGCTACTGAATTTCTTGCTTTGACTAGCTCACCTAACTGATGCCTTTACACTTTGATATTAAAAGAATGTGGCCTCAATAAGAACCTGTCTCCTGAGTCACTGTCAAACAACACCTAGGCCTCTGTGCATCTGCCATACCTGCTTTGTGGCAGTCTTACAGTTCCTTAGGGACTAACTGGATAATAAACATGCTGAGCCCAGACTCTGGAGGCTCACTGTAAACTGATACACCAGACTGGGAAATGCCACCACAGGGAAAGGGGTCATGTGTTCCTGTTTGCTCTCATATGAAGTGAAGGGTCACGTCCAGCAGAGACATTTCCCAGGAAGCAGAGCTGCCCCAAGCTGTTGCAGATGTCTGCTGTGCAACATGTGAACCAAAGTCTTTAGGTTGCAGAAGCAGGAAATTTGCTTTGGCTCAACAGCTCTGTTATAGGAAAAGGAAAGTAAAAGGGAATAAGGAAGTAAGTGTTACACATCTAAGTTGGGATGCAGATAAGGGAAAGCAGATTTATGCCTAAAATACTTAATGAGAAGAACTTAAAGTTACCAAGAGAAATTTGAGGACAAATTTTAAAATTGCACAGAAGAGAAATCATCTCTTTTTTAATCACTATGTTCAATTAGCAGACTATTCAGGAAAGAAGGAAATTGAAGTGAAAGAAGAAGTTGCAACTGTCAAACCAACATTACTGCTTTGGATCAATTGCAGAGCTTACTGGGTTTAACTATTAGATTAAGAATGCTAGACTGACCTGTACGTTGAGGATACTGTGCTTGACACTATCTGGCAGACCCATGCCAGCTCCCACGCATATGGTAGCACTAAGTTTTAATAAGATGGCTGAGATTTTTAGTACAAAGTATGTGAATGGTTGAGATTAATGCAAGTTCAGTTAAAAGAAAAGTAATAGGCTTATTAAATTCTCATTAATGCTAAAATTCAAGACTTCTGCTCAGATAAATTCATTATTGGGAAAAGCATTAAAAATGTACCAATCTTTTTGTCCATTTCAAGATAACCTTTCCTTCATCTCAATCAGAATTTAGACATTTCTCTGTAAATTCAGATTGCATTTCTGGATTGGTTTATTTTCCCTATTTTTTTAATGAAGGAATGTCGTAACTGGCAACACCAACCTCTAAATACCTACAAATAAATGACAATTTATTTCTTTTTCTAGTGCTTATTGGCAAATCATCACTGAATGAGACTGATGCCTTTTTAACCAAGCAATTCTTATAAATTCACCTATCTCTCTTCCTGCCTTTAGGCCACAACTTCGGCCCCATACACAATGCAAAGCTAAACAGCAGAAGAACCAAACCAGACAAACCAATATACCAAAGAAAGAAAAAAAAAGAAACCTGTAGATGTCAAATGTTATCATAAGACTTCTCTAATGTTTAGGATTGCAGAAGAAGATCAGAACTGCACAATTGGCCCACCAGAGATTCCATCTCTGTATTTGCATTTGCTTCATTTAGCTGACAAATATCCCAGATTCTCTGCAAGTTCAGTAACACTCTCCTTGAGATATCTCACAGTGTGGATGGAGACAAAATTGCTGCATTCAAACTACACTGAGCTCAGTGTGACAATTCAGCATTTGGTCCTGAGTCTTCTCTTTACAGTAGGTGTGACCAGCCCTTGCATCAGGAGCTGTCAGAACATTAAACTCCTGTTCTGTGTCAATACCAACTGATCCAGAATGGGTGGAAAAAAGGAATGTGCTGGTTCTGCATCAATTACACTACTTCCATTATCAACTTTTTTTCTTTTCTTTTTTTTTTTTTTTTATTTTTGCAAAATCTTAGAAAGGAGCTATTTATTCAGTTTGTCGAACACAGGGCAGTTTTGATACTCAGAAAATTGCATCTTGAAAGTGATCACCAAGGCTGTCCTATCTCTCCACCCACAGCTGCCCACATCCTTCTGTGTCCCATCTGTCTTTCCCATGAAACACCTTTCAGAAAGCTGGAAGGGGGGAGACCCTGCTCCCAGCAGATACACATGAGGGCCAGCACAAAGCAGACAGTGCCACCCTGACAGAGAATATAAGGGTAGATAGATGGTTTAGGAGCTCACATATGGCATTGCTGACCATCAAAGGGAGAAATGAAAAATAATTTGTGGGCTGCTATTGCCCTACCATGTTGATCTGCTGCTGCTCTTCTATTATTGCCGTTTTAAAGCACCTTAGGGAATGCAACAGTTCTGCAGAATGGGAAAAGATCACAGTAAAGACATTAGACACTCATAATCGCCATCCTTTTCGCAGAAGAACAGCAAAGAGATGGCCCTTATGTAGAGAAGCTATATTAGCTACACACCTGACATTTGGAGAAGGTTGAACTATGTGGTTTATGGAGAGATCCTTTTGGTTGTATATTCCTGCAACTGTCCCCAGGACTGTTCTCTGTAATAGAGACTCTGCTGACGAACAGAAACTCCTTCCTCTGCCCTTCCTGAACAAAAAAATCACCACATATCCAGCGCCAAATCTTCCATAGGCAAAGGCATTTCCAAAATGCATTGAAATCCCAACATGCTCTTGGCCTCAGTAACGTCACGAGGTTTTCAAGATTCGTAGCCCAAAGAGCTCAGGCAGTGACACAGTCACCATGTGGCACTGATCAGAGTGTCCAGAGAGCTCAGCCAGTGACAGTCATGGTGTGGCACCGATCAGACTACTCAAAGAGTTCAGGCAGTGACAGAGTCACTGTGTGGCACTGATCGCAGTACCCAGACAGCTGAGGCATTGACACATTCTCTGCCGGCACCGATCAGAGTGGTCAGAGTGATGCCTTAAGTTTGAAGTTTTCGGTTCTGCTTGGGTGTGCTTTTCTGCTGTGCTTGGGTGGTGAAGACAAAACAGTCCTATTCCAGCTGGGGACTCAAGGACAATTTCTTCAAACTTCAGGCTCTAAGCATAAACAATGTGAAAAGAGGAGGGCGGGGAAGAAAGCAAACAAGGAGGATAAAACTTCATAATTTGAGGGTATTAATTGGACACTTGACTCCTGCATGTAAATGGACTAAAACCTATAAAAATGTGAGATCTCGTGACCAAGCCCTCTTTTGCTTCCATCTTGGAGCCATCCGAGCAAGGGCCACGACTGTGGCAGTTACTGCCAGGGTATAGCCTTTGAAGGCCCCTCAATAAATATCCATTTTATTCCTGTTAACTCTGTCTAGCCTCTGTTCCATCTCCTCTAGGCATCAGCACTGGGGAGACAGGCAGGAGAGGTGAGGCATTTGGAAAACCCCTGGACTGAAGCCCTGCTGGCAGCCCCAGACAGGCCCAGCAGAGATCCAGAGGTATCAGAGCCAAGAACCCTGGGAACAGAATCATGTGAGTAACCGAATAAAAGGGTATTCTGTATAGCATCTGGGTTCGGTGCTAGGAGGGTTTGTAGATTGTAATTTTGTAAATTCTAAATTTATTTTGGGGAACCTAAGGGTTCTAAGTAGAGTTGTCTGGCTCTTTATCCGTGGTTAAGGAGGAGTGCCTTCTTAAAAAGCAGGTTTAAACTGTAGTCCTATTAGGCTAAAGCCAAAAGGTGGCGCAGCTGTCAAGTTTCTCTGCTGTGGCTCTGAGGGTTGTGAGTTTCAATCTCGACTCTTTTGTGTCTTTTGCTCTTTATTTTTGTGTATCAGAACGGGTTGTGTATCCTCTCGTTAATATGGTAATAGTAGTATTCCAAGAGATAGCCCTTTGGGATTAATATTGAAAAACTGGGCAAATTTAACTGAGGAATAGTCTATGCTTTTAAAACCTAAACTTATTCGACTCTCAGAGAAAATGTGGCCAACTTATGAACTAGATAATGGAGCAACATGGCCTAAATTTGGGAATTTAGACCGAAAACTAATATCAAGCTTAATATCCTGCATACACGGAGACAGAATTTTTGAAAAGTTAGAGCATGCCCGGCTTTTTATGGCATTAGCATGTGAGCAGAATCTAGATAAGAAGAAAGAACATATATTAGTCTTAAAAGGTAAAAAAAAAAAAAAAAAAAAAAAAAAAAAAAAAAACCAACCCTTTCAGTAGCACATTTAAAAATCCAGAGGAGGCAGAGGTGGACCTGGTTGCTCCTGCCATGAGAACACGATCCGCCCCAAGCGCGGTAGGCATGGGCTTAGGCCAAGGCGCGGGCTCAGGCCAGGGCGGGGCCTCAGGCCAAGGCGCGGGCTCAGGCCAGGGCGGGGGCTCAGGCCAAAGCGCGGGCTCAGGCCAGGGCGGGGCCTCAGGCCAAGGCGCGGGCTCAGGCCAGGGCGGGGGCTCAGGCCAGGGCG